TTATACTTTTAAAGTAATGCAAATAATAATAACTGTGTGTTTTTGTTGCTATACGTGGATGATATGATTTTGATTGGTCCCAACTTGAAGTTGTTAAATGATATAAAAACTATTTTGAGCAATGAATTTGATATGAAAGACTTAGGTAATGTTAAAAGAATATTAGACATGAAAATTCAAAGAGATATGTGTAATTCAATTTTATTTTTGCATCAGACTTCATATATCATGAAAATCTTGAAATTTTTTGGCATGAATGAATGCAAACATTTTACATTGCCTTTAGCTAATCATTTCGTATTATCTAAAGAATAATCACCTGCTAATGAAGAGAAAGAGAAATATATGAAAAGGATTCCATATACATATGCCATTGGTTCTATTATGTATCTAATGGTGTGTACTAAATCTGATTTAGCCGTTGCTGTCAATCCTGGTCCCAAACATTGGGAAGTTTTGAATTGACTGTTTAGATATTTAAAAGGAACATGCAATACTGGCTTGATATATAAGTTTAGTACTCAAGGAATAAAAATAAAAGGTTTTACTGATTCTAATTATGCTGGTGATAGAGATAATAGGAAATCTACATTTTCCTACGTGTTTACTTTGTGTAATTCATGTGTTAGCTGGAAATCACAACTTCAACATGTTGTTGCATTGTCCACTACTAAATCAGAATATATTGCTACTACTGAAGCCTTTAAATAATCTTTGTGGTTTAAAGGTGTATTAAATGAACTTGGTATTTTTAATGACAATGTGACAATATATTCTGATAGTCAATCTGCTATTCACTTATACAAAAACCTTATCTTTAATGAACGTGCTAAACATATAGATGTTAGATTGCATTTCATTAGAGATATGATTTCTCAAGAACTTGTAAAACTTGAAAAAGTTCTTTCAGAATATAATCCTGCTGACATATTTGTAAAGTTTGTAAGTCTCTTTCCATAAGCTAAGGTGCTCCCATTGGTAAAGTTTAAAAGCTGCCTTGATCTTCTAAATATTGGTACAAATTTTATGTCTCTTTCCTTAAGCTATTTGTTATCTTATCTGACTTGTAGGTTGATTTGACATCAAGGTGGAGATTGTTGAGCATTTTAGTAAGTGATGCCTAAATCCCATAGGCAATGATGAAAAATCAAGGCCCGTTTAACTTCATAGGCTATAAGGCTGAGATTGAAGAATTATAAATCCACACCACAATTGATGTAACCCAATTGTGCTAGGTATTTAGAGGAAATCAACACATTGGGTTAGATGCTCAATACCTAACTTTGGAGATAATTCTAAATCATGTGAGATTTGGATGGTTGCAATGGTTATACTATCCTTATCTTTTGATAACCATTTTCAGTTTTCTTCAATCGTATCCTGCCGATTGTTTCTGGGAAATTTGTTTTCTTTTGCTTATAAATTGGACTCTTGGCCTCACTTTCTCTACACACCAAAAACGTTCTCTACTTTGTGCATAATAGAAAACCAGCCTCTGCCTTTTGTATGCCTTTGTCTCTGTGACTGAAAAAATCTCCAATTGGTGTTGTCTTTGTGGTGTTGGATTAATTGTTTTTTAGCCAAATCAAAAAGGGGAAAAACATTGTTCTTTAATTCTTCTTTTTGGTTTTGATTTCCTTTCCAATTTTCTTGCAAATTCCTTCACTCACTTGGTTGATTTCTTCAATTGTAGGTGGGATTTGCTCGACAGCTTGAAGGGACCAAACCAAAATTCTGGGTCTTTTTCTATATTTGAAATATCATTTCATTTCCTAATTTTTCGATTTTCAACTTCGAGTTTTTGGTATTTATATGAAACTTCTGCGTAATTTGTCCTTAAAATTTTTTTTTTTTTTTTGACTCTAGCAATTCGTCCCCAATGTTTATAAGTAAACCTTTTCAAGTCCTCAACATTTTGTCCTTTTTGCATATTTCGTCCCTTTTACTTATAATTCCACCAAAATGCTAAGTTCTCAAGGCATAAATTTGGCAAAGTACTATCCCTAACACTTAACATAATCTTAAAGATCCAAATGTACGCTTCATTTTTAATATTAGAAGCCAAAAGAAAAAAAAATTAACACAAAAATCTGATCAAAATTTGGTTGAATGCGTGACCACGAGATGGCTATAAGATGAAAACGAGTTTTTCAAGACAAAATAAAAAAAATAAAAAATTAGTTGACTTGAACGTAATTGTTTCTTCTTCTTCTTCTTTTTTTTTTTTTTTTTTTTTTCTTTTTTTTTTTTTTTTTTTTTTTTTTTTTTTTTTTTCACTCATAGGGAATGAAATTTTATGTATTTTCCGCTTTATTTTTGTATTTATGTGTATCGATTACTTTTATGTATTATAAACAAGTATCCGAAATAAAATATACCGCTTTAAATTTATTTATTTATTTTCCAATTGGAATAGTCCCCCTGCTCCCTGCTCCCCACCAAAAATTAAAAAAGCTTGTGGTGCTACTGGTTTGGACCATGAGAAAAACGTTGTTGGATAAATAAAAGAAAAAATTTGGGGTAGACTCCTTAACTTTCAAATAACATGGTTTTACAATCCTAATCTATTTAAAATTATGAATCAAGATCCATGATTACATAAATCGTCAATAAAAAAAGTTAAAATAGTACAACTTTCATGTAACTTAAAGTTAGATGTAAGTTATTCGACAATTTTATCCTTCAGTTTAAATCATGTAAAAGTTTGCAATTTTCAAATCCATATTAAAAATTTCAATCACATGCTAAATTCACATATGAATAAGTTGAGAATTCAAACCTCAATTTTGAAGACTAGAAACCAAAAACCTCACTAATTGAAAGATGGAGAGCCCATCCCCGATTTTTCTTAAATTAAAATAGTGGATTGTGGGACATGTATTCCTCTATTGATGGATGAGTTCTAATATGTAGATCACATACATCGCTATGGACCACCCTTTGATATTTATACAAATTGCTTGTGGCCAACAATCTCATATCATATGTTCCCATTCCCAATTAGGGTTGGGCAAAACTTCTGAATCGAATCAAGTTGAATCGAATTGAGTTATTCTTTTTAAGTTAAATATCTAAATGAGTATCTAAATACGATGGGTTCAATTCTCGATTCTAGATCAAGAACCAAAAAATAAATAAGAGCTGGATCTTTCTAATTTTTTAATTTATTTATTTTAGATAAGCCAAATTATTTTTTTAAAAATAAATTTGCTAACTTGTTAATTTAGTTTAAATCCAAAAATATATGATTTTCCTATTTATAATTTTCAATTCAAACCTAACTTATCCCCCATTTCGCCCTCCATTCTTTCCAAATTTTAATGGTTGGAATAGTATTTTTAAAAAAATATGTGGTTGAAAAAGAATGGAAAGTTTTTTATTTGCATATAATATTTTTTTATGGAAGATTGTGTGGTTGAAAATAAGAGAGAAAAAGAATGAGAATGAGAATGAGAGCCAAACAGAGGCTTAATCAAATTGATATAAGTTTTAACCAAATTTATTATTATACCGTAGCGTGGTTTCTACCATTCTGGAGAAATCGAATTGAAGTTCATTAGCTCCTCTCTTAATTATTATAAGTTCATTATCGTCTTCTTCCTGTTATTTTAACAATCAAACTTATGAAAAACTCAGTAAAGAGAGACGCAAAAAACATATAAGATTGCACTACGTTATTTTGTAAAAGTTAAAATTGAACATGTCATTAGTTGAATTAATGTAGTTTTGTAAATAATAAAAAATTTAATTATAAAACAGAACTTGAGAATCGAATGGAATCGAACCAAACCGAATCGTATCGTACCGAACTAAATTGAACCGAACTTGAACGGTTCCATAATTAAATTTGGATCAGACGATTCCACTTACTAAATGCCCGAAAATTTTGGATTCGATTCCATTCTCGTTAAAATCAAACTGAATCGAACCAGATCATGCCCAACCCAATTCCCAATACAAGACAAAAAAAAAGAAAAAAAAAAAAGAAAAAGAAACGAAGAACTACGGTAAATCTAATGATTAAAATAAAGACATGGACAATATATGTTTGGCAGTTATTAGAAATCATTTTTTTAGACTTATTATCTACTTTTTTTAAAAAGTAAATAAATTTAATTTGTGTAAAAATATTTTTAAAAAAAATCATGTTTTAATAAAATAAGTAGCTTAAAAAAAATAAGCACGTCTAAATTCCCTCTTTATATATCTATGTTTAAACGTAGTAATAATATTCAGTTGATGAAAGAAATTTATATCCATATATGTGTTTGTGTTTATTTTAGATATAAAAAATTATAAATATTACGAGTTCAATTTTAATAATCAAACAAAAAATTATGTATCTCCCGTTTTATACCTATTTTCTATAATTCATTTTTTCTAAACTCATTTTGAACCATATATTTAATGGGATCCCCAACTTTTATACATTTTTCAACCATACATTTTTATTAACTTTTATCGAAATTCACTAAAAATCTAATTTTAATTAAACCAACATGAATTTAGAAATAATCCCAAAAATCAAGAAAGTAATGAAAAGTGAAAACTATCGAAATCTTTATATTTACAATATTAGCAAATAAATAATTGTGCAAATATAAATGACATGAGAAAAATTCATCCACATGTAAATTTGAATGCATATGGTGGAGGTGGAGTGCAATTATATTGTGAGTCATATTGGATTTGTGAAAATCTCACACACTAAAATATATCAAATAAAAAATTAGCACAAACAAGTTTCTGCACGTGCAAATTAGGGTTCGACCCTACCACGTTGTACCATAGTTCAATGTCATCATCAATTATCTCATCCACCCGGCCAGCCCCCCTACGAATTATACGCTATTTCTACGCTCAATGAGACTTCCGTTTAGATTCAACACGCTAACTGAGACTCCATTTCATTGTACAACAAAGAGCAGCTGGACAGTGGTCTGTGCACAAACATATAAATACACCAAATGAATCAGCCGACAAAAACAAGTAATTGGGACCTTAACAAATCGAAAGATTGTCTGTTTTTAATCCAAGAAAATGGTTAAGAAAAAGGATTCATCATCTTCTTCACAAAATGAGAACAATGAGGTGAAGTATAAGGGTGTTAGGAAGCGTAAGTGGGGGAAATATGTATCAGAAATAAGGCTTCCTAATAGCCGGGAAAGGATTTGGTTAGGGTCTTACCAAACGGCCGAGAAGGCGGCCAAGGCGTTCGACGCTGCCTTGTACTGCCTCCGTGGTTGCCATGCAAAGTTTAATTTTCCACATGATCCACCGAACATTGCCGGCGGACAAGCACTCACTCCGGCAGAAATACAAGTTGTTGCTCAACAGTATGCTAATAACAATAGCAGCACTAATCACCGGCCACCAACAGGTACTTTCATTAGATACACGATGAACTTTTTATTTGCGTAAAGTATTACAAATTTACTTATTTAAATTTTATCTTTTGACAGAATTAGAGGATGAATCGCCATCATCGAACTCGGAGGGGGCTGGGACAATGGACTCAATCGACTGGTCATTCTTGGACATGTTAGACTCGAATGATCATGCTGGTAATGTTTCCGATTTCGGATTATTTCCCGAGCCTGGCGATATGTACGTTCCACCAAATTTTTCATACCACGGCAATAATGAGGATGATCATGACAATGAAGATACCGGGGGACACTTTTCATCTTTTCTTTGGAACTTCTAATAAAAAACACTTAAAAACATATATATGAATAATAAGATTAATAAAGCATATTTGGCTTAGCTTAAAAGTCGGCTTTTGGAACAGCATCAAGTGTGATATTATCGAGATAAGCCGCTTCTTTGCATAAAAGCAATCCCAAATATGCTCTTTAGTTTACTTATTAGGGATAGGGAAATTATTAGCTGGCCTTGATAATTTTTTACATCTTTCCGGTTATACCTTCTGTATTTTTTTGCCAGGAAGTTACTTTGATTGTCGAGGGATGGATTGCTAAGTTTTTCTAGGACGTATTTAATACGTAGTACTAGACATTGTGTCCAGTATTATACGATCTAGTTAAGGAATACGTATTATATTTTGTAATGCTACATATACATTTGAATAAATGATCCTTATTAGAATTTGTCAGTGTATTGTCCATGTCATTATCAAAAATTGACTTTTCATTGTGTGTTCCGCCCTAACTACTTTCATGGAAAATAGTTCCCAAAAACATGAGACACGTTTGGACTAAAAAGAATACAATTTTTCTTTGACATATATAGTTGACATAATCAACTTCTGAAAAACTCATTGTCTAAAAATTAAAGCTCCGAATTATAATTTTTACAAATAAGTTGATACTAAATTCAAATACAATATTAAGCCCCCGTTTGTTTATCATTTTTTAAAGAATGAGAATGAAAAATATAGTCATTACGGGCCCCACACAAGAGATAAAAACTTAAATTTGATGGTTTAATGCGATGAATAACGATCATATTTTTCATTTTAATGATGAAAGAATGCGAACCAAATAGGGGCTAAATGTCAATTCACGTAAAAACTTAAACTATACAAGATTGTATAAATGGTATTATCTATGTACGAAACTGTAGAAATCGAGAACACATATGCTTGAGAGTAATATAAAACTCATCTACCTTTGAGATCAAATGAAAATTGGCCACTTTTGGTCTTTTT